CTCTCCGCCCCCGCCCATTGAAACATTCAAGTGTTTCCGCCTCTATCTCAGGCGACCTGCAAGATACTATGCGCGCCTTGGGCGCGTTAGAGGCCCGAGACTTTGAGGGAAAGAGCGACCGGGAGCCAACGCCGATTCAGTTTACGTTTGACTTCGCGGACGCAAGATGGGGCGTTAAATCACGTCCGGAAACAGAACTAAAACGCGTCTAAATAAATGAAGTCTGATGGTTGTAAGCCCTACAATTCCCTGGACGGCTTCAGTTCAGGACACAGGATAAATTGAAAGGGGCCGTGGCCGCCATTGTAGTTGCGAATGATTTGCGCCGCGGGTTTGAATTTGACTCTGCAATACGTGCTCGTTTTGATCATTAACCTTTCTTTTTAGGCGAGTGTAACATAAATAAAAATGTTCATTCACATTAATTAAAAATGTTTTAGATTGATATTTTTGTGCAAGCTGCCAGTTTTAACAATACAAATATTGCAACGTTTTCTCACGAAAAGTCGCAAAGTGATTCTAGTCTTTCAACAAAAACTCTCAACTAAAAAGTCTTCAATTAATTACTGATTAAAGTAAAAACATCGATGTTCTCCTCGTAATATTTTATTCTGAAGATTCTAACATGTACACTGAATTTGAACACGGACAATTGAATTTTTTCGTGCTCATAACATATGCAGAAACAACTCTTAACCATATTATATCACGTATATATTCGTTCAGTTAAATATTTTCACCGCACCGAAAGAAGATATAATTATTTTAAATAACTAAAACTTGCTCATATCACAGTCGTAACGATGTCTGTAAGGCACGCCCGTCTCCACTACAAAGGCGGCCTTCAATTATTTTCAAATTATTGCGCGACAAACAGCGTTCTCAGCGAGTCTAGTTTAATTTGTAATTCAAACGTCTTCGGTTGTGAGAGCAGGAAACTAAGGAATCTGGCCTTGCTTCATTTTGTTAATTGTATAAACCCAGCGTGCTGGCTGACGAGGTTTTCTGGAGCGTTCTGATTAGTGTACATAAAAATGACAGAAGTTGCTAAAAAAACTTGGAAATTGTTTGTAAATTTAAACTAATTTGTTACATTGTAAAGCGAAATAAGTTGCAATAATAGTCCTATCCAGTGCGAATTAAGAAGAAAATGGAATTTTGCATTAATATAACAATAAGAAATTGCACAATATTTTCAAACATTGAGGAAGTGTTCTCTGAACGAAAACGTTCTTTTAAAACTTAAAACAACTCCCAACCCGTGTGTAAGAAGTTTTCAATTAATTCTATTATCATTTTCCAATCACAGATACACGAATCCAGGTATTGAGTGATTACAAAGTTATTTAACCTAATGTTTTTCTATTGTATTTTTGTCATTTCTTTAATTATTTTTTGTGAAAAATGACAAAAATTATCAGAAAGCCAAAAAGTAAATCCGTTAAATGAAACAGTTATTTAATTAAAACAATTAACAATACCCGCTGGTGGGAATAGAACTATTTATTCTTCAAAGTCCTTGGAAATTTAGATGACTTCTCCATTTTAAATGAATTTCTTTCATGTATAGAGGATCAAAGTACTTTTGCATTTATAAGCCGAATTGCCAATTTATGATCTTTGTCTGCGTAACAAATCTACGAAACAAAAGTTGCTCAATTTTGTATGCAACAAGCACGACGAAACTAGTTTTCACACGACCTGGACGATGAACGAACGGGAAGTGACCTGGGAAATAACCCGTTTTCTGCCGGCGGAGACATGTCCCACCGCCAAAGGCGGACATGAAAGGAATTCTGGAAGCTCCAGGCAAGCTTGCCAAGCCAGTGTTTGTAGAAACTTATTCTCTAAGATAAAGGATTTTTCTCTTTTGAGTATTCGTTGTAGATTTCCATGACAAGGAGAAAGACGATCATCAAAATACAGCGATCGTGGAGCCCTTGAAAGCGAGCCCTTCGGGTCTCGCGTAAGAAAGGAAGTAGCTCCTTCCGTTCCCGCAGCGACCTTGGGGCGAGCGACTGCTCCCCTATTATTCATCGGCCGGCATCGCCCAGGCCTCCTGAAATGAGCTCTCGCCCTCCCCCTCCTCCGCCCCCGCCTTGAAACATTCAAGTGTTTTCCCCGCTCTATCTCAGGCGACCTGCAAGATACATGCGCGCCTTGGGGCGTTAGAGGCCGCGAGCCTTTGAGGGAAAGAGCGCGGGGCCAACGCGTTCAGTTTACGTTTGACTTCGCGGACGCAAGATGGCGTTAAATCACGTCCGGAAACAGAACTAACGCGCTCTAAATAAATGAAGTCTGATGGTTGTAAGCCCTACAATTCCCTGGACGGTCAGTTCAGGACACAGGATAAATTGAAAGGGACCGTGGCCGCCATTGTAGTGGATGATTTGCGCGCGGGTTTGAAATTTTGACTCTGCAATTTGTGCTCGTTTTGATCATTACCTTTCTTTTTAGGCGAGTGTAACATAAATAAAAATGTTCATTCACATAAATTAAAAATGTTTAGATACATAATTTTTGTGCCAGCTGCCAGTTTTAACAATACAAATATGCAAGTTTTCTCACGAAATGTCGTCAAGTGGTTCTAGTCTTCAACAAACTCTCAACTAAAAGTCTTCAATTAATTACTGATTAAGTAAAAACATCCATGTTCTCCTCGTAACATTTTATTCTGAAGATTCTAACTGTACGAACTTGTACACTGAATATGAACACGGAACAATGAATTTTGTCGTGCACATAACATATGCAGAACAACTCTTAACCATATTATATCACGTATATTTTCGTTCAGTTAAATATTTCACGCACCGGAAAGAAGATATAATTATTTTAAATAACTAACTTGCTCATATCACAGTCGTAACGATGTCTGTAAGGCACGCCCGTCTCCACTACAAAGGCGGCCTTCAAATTATTCAATTATTGCGCGACAACAGCGTTCTCAGCGAGTCTAGTTTAATTGTATTCCAACGTCTTCGGTTGTGAGAGAGGAACTAAGGAAATCTGGCCTTGCTCATTTTGTAATTGTATAACCCAGCGTTGCGCTGACGAGTTTCTGGAGCGTTCTGATTAAGTGTACATAAAAATGAAGAAGTGCTAAAAAACTGGAAATTGTTTGTAAATTAAATATTTTACATTGTAAAGCGAAATAAGTTGCAATAATAGTACCTATCCATGCGAATTAAGAAGAAAATGTGAATTTGATTAATATAACAATAAGAAATTGCACAATATTTCAAACATTGATGAAGGTGTTCTGAACGAAACGTTCTTTTTAAAACTTAAAACTAACTCCCAACCCGTTGTAGAAAGTGTTCAATTAATTCTATTTATCATTTTCCAATCACAGATACACGAATCCAGGTATTGAGTGATTACAAGTTATTTAACCTAATGTTTTTCTATTGTATTTTTTTCATTTCTTTAATTATTTTTTTGTCAAAATGACAAAATTATCAGAAAGCAAAAAGTAATCGTTAAATGAACATTATTTAATAAAACAATTACCAATTACCCGCTGGTGGTTGAATAGAACTATTTATTCTTCAAAGTCCTTGAAATTTAGATGACTTCTCCATTTTAAATGAATTCTTCATGTATAGAGGATCTAAGTACTTTTGCATTTATAAGCCGAATTGCATTATGATCTTGTGCTAACAAATCTACGAACAAAAGTCTCAATTTTGTATGCAACAAGCACGAACTAGTTTTCACACGACCTGGACATGACGGAACGGAGTGACCTGGGAATAACCCGTTTCTGCCGGCGGAGACAGTCCCACCGCAAAGCGGACATGAAAGGGAATACTGAAGCTCCGGTAAGCTTGCACAAGCCAGTGTTTGTGAAACTAATCTTTAAGATGAAACTATTTTTCTCTTTTGAGATTCGTTTAGATTTCCATTGACAAGGAGAAAAGACGATCATCTTTGACCAAAAAGAAGAAATAAAGAAAGAAAGTAAGAAAAAATGTAAGAAAGAACGTAAGAAAGAACGTAAGAAAGAACGTAAGAATGAAAGAACGTAAGAATGAGAGACTGAAAGAAAAAAAAAGAAAGACAGACAGATAGAAAGTCTCAAAGAAAGTTTGAAAGAAAGTCTGAAAGAAAGACTGAAAGAAAGACTGAAAGAAAGACTGACAGAAAGACTGAAAGAAAGACTGAAAGAAAGACTGAAAGAAAGACTGAAGGAAAGAAAGAAAGAAAGACAGAAAGAAAGAACAGAAAAAACTGAAAGAAAGACAGACAGAAAGACAGACAGAAAGACAGACAGAAAGACAGACAGAAAGACAGACAGAA